TTGGGCTTCCTCCTTAAGATGGACCCACCTCCTGCTGGTGGTATTAGTTGCTGCAGTTCCAGACCTCATGTCTTTATACCATCAGGAGGAAGAGAATCTCTTCCCATAGTTTTCTTTTCTTTTTTTTTTGGTTTGTTTATTTATTTATTTTTTGAGACAGATCTCACTTTTTTGCCCAGGCTGGAGTGAGTGCTATGCATCAGCCTAGCTCACCAGCAACCTCAATGTGAGCCACCACGCCCGGCCTGACAATATAGTTTTTAGCTGAGTCCCCATGTTCCCAGCTAAAAAGCCTGCTACTACTTAGGAACGGAAGAATGGGGCTAACTCACAAGCTCTGCCATTCACTTGCTCAGGCACACACCTCTGGTCTTCTCAGCTATGGCCAGAGAGTATGGGATCATGGAGGTTAGACAGATTCCCTCCTCATCATTTATTCCATCCTTCCTCCTTCCTATTAGTGCCCCTAATTTCCAATCCTGGTGGTTTAGGAGGAACTGACAACTCCTCCTGTTCTAAAGTAATCCCTGAGTGACTTAAGTCAATTAGCAAGTTCTACTTCCTAGACACAGTGAGCTGGCTGAGGAACAGGCACAGAACCCAATCCAAGACAAGGAGAAGTTTTCTGGGGTACATGGGGAAAGAAGCTTCTTCTATCCTCATGGAAAACTATGGGCTGGGCGTGGTGGCTCACGCCTGTAATCCTAACACTCTGGGAGGCCGAGGCAGGCGGATTGCTTGAGGTTAGGAGTTCGACACCAGCCTGATCGAGACCCCGTCTCTACTAAAAATAGAAAGAAATTAATTGACCAACTAAAAATATATATAGAAAAAATTAGCCGGGCATGGTGGCACATGCCTGTAGTCCCAGCTACTTGGGAGGCTGAAGCAGGAGGATCGCTTGAGCCCAGGAGTTTGAGACGTTGCTGTGAGCTAGGCTGACGCCATGGCATTCACTGTAGCCTGGGCAAGAAAGTGAGACTCTGTCTCAAAAAGAAAAGAAAAGACAATTAGATGGCAGTGAGCAAGACAAAGAAGCTCAGACCACAAAGGGAAGCAAACACTTTAACCAAAAGAGTACAAATCTCAAAGAGGTAGGTCATTCAAAATTGGTAACTTCAAAAGGCAATTCTAGATGTATTTGGATCCAGGAGACTCTCAGTGAGTGATCTCACCAGTGAGGGTAAGAAGGGGGTCAGCACTGGGCCTGGGCCTGGCCCTACCATGAGACAGAAATAGAGGAGAATGTCCAGTGGGAAAGCCAGCTCAACTCAGCAGGTGTTTCTCTGAGGTTGTGACTGAGATAATAGAACTAAAACTCTCAGCACCTTCCCTAGAGAAGAGCAAAATGCTGGCTTGTATGGTATGTGCCAGACAAGACACGTGGGGAAGCAAAGAGGAAGACAGCTGTGGGATTCCAGAGACAGGAGATGGGCAAAGAACCTGGCCTGGTAAAATGAAGACAAAGATCAGGCCGGAGCCAGAGCGAGGAGCCTCGAATGTCTTGCTAGAGTTCAGTCTTAATGGGCTCCTCTGTGAACAGATCCTAAAGGATTCCAGCTGAAAAGAGACCAGTTTAAAGCTGTGTTTAATCTGCTAATCTGTGTTAATCCACCTAGGCTGGATTGTGGGGTGGCATGGGGCAAGAGCTACAGGACTCTAGTAAGGAGGCTTAGAACATCATCCTCCTGGGAGGTGATTAGGGATTGAACGTGGGAAAGAAGGAAAAAAAAAACCTGACAGATTCAGGAGCCACTTAAGGAAAAAGTCAAGAAGACTTGAGGTCTGGCTGGGTAGAGGATTAAAGTTTTCTAGCCTGGGTGACTTTTTCCACTGATGGAGACAAGAAAGTCAAAGGGAGGTGGGTTTGGGGAATAGTGTGAGGTCAGTATGAAACTGGCTGAATTTGAGTAAAAACCAAGACATTCAAGTGACCATATCCTTCAGGCAGTTAGATTTGGATCTGGAGGCATCAATTTTGGAGGCGACTATTGGCAGAGGGTAAACAGCTAATTCCCTGAGAGGGAATGGGCTTTGTCAGGAAGGCTCCAAGGAGAACAAAAAGACCTGGAGCTGAATCTCAGGATATCCTACACTGAACGCCACAGCATCCACTAGCGTAACTCTTCCATGCTCTACCGTAATCCCAATTCACCAGACACTCCAATACCACTATCTCTTCCTGCAGCTAAGAGAATCTGTAGTTATTGAGCATTTACTCTGAGCCAGTCTTGATACCTAGTCAGCTTGTTATCTCATTAAATCGTAAGAACAGCTCTGCAAGGTACCTCTGCAGACCCATTTTACAGAGCACACAACTGAGACTCAGAGAGATGAATCAATTCATAGAGTGTGAAGTAGTGCAGGGTTGGCCTTAAAACTCAGGCCTCCTGACTCCCATTCAGTTGGGCACCTACTACGTGCCAAAGAATATAATGATATTGGACTCTACCCTCCAGTAAACTACAATCTGGACGGAGATAAGGTAGGCACGTAAATAATGATATATTATTTGCGCAAAGCCGGGCAGTTCCAGGAGAAGTGGCGATAAGGTCTCCCTATGGTCCAAAGGGTTGAGGGCCTCGCAGCAGCCTCCCCGAAGAGGTAGGCATTGATGCAAGCAAGGCGTTGTGGATAGGGGGGCGGGGTGGGAGGTGCAGGCTGTGGGATCCAGTTATCACACTGACTCTTGCTCCGCAGGTACTGTGTCCGGGAATTGCAGCTGTTCGCGCCGGGGGCAAGGGCTGTTGCGGCGCAGGCTGCTGTGGAAATCGCTGCAGGGTAAGATCCAAATTAAGAAGGAAGTCAGGACTCGGTCTCTGAACCTGTCCTCGCAGAGCCATAGCACCCTGTACAGAACTCCTGGCTACACGAGCTCGGCCGCAGAGCCCCAGGCTCCGCTTCACCCCTCCCTCGCACCCGCAAACCCTAGGTCTCCATGTGCCTGGCCAGAGGGGACTACAACCCCCATGAACCTCTCTGGCCGCTGGCTCCTAGGGTTAGCGTAACTCCAAGCCCGGGGTTTGATGGGAAATGTATTTTAAACCTGACTCAAGAAGAGCGCGGTGATGTGGGGGACAAGGCCAGGCGTGGTGGGACAAGCGGGGAGGTTGCTGCCCTTACTCACCTCTCCTTCCACACGCATCCAGATGCTCCGCTCGGTCTTCTCCTCGGCATTCGGGGTGCTTGGTGCCCTGTACTGCCTCTCGGTGTCGGGAGCCGGGCTCCGAATTGGACCCAAATGCTTGATGAACGGCAAGTGGAGCTACCACTTGGAAGATACCTCGTAAGGTTTCGCCTGTATTCGTGCCTTCCATTCTCTGCCTCTTCCCACCCGTCCTTCCTGCCGGGAAACCTGGGCAGGACTCGGCTTCGAGAGAGCTCCCTGCACGTGGGCCAGCTGAGCCCTTTGCAAATGCCCTCGACGTGTGAGTGGTGGGTGGCATGGGGGACGACCTCCTCTCACGTGACCCTGTCCCACCCACAGAGGTGCTTACTTGCTCAACCGGACTCAATGGGATTTGTGTGAGCAGCCGCCTCACGTGGTCCCCTGGAATGTGACACTATTCTCCTTGCTGGTGGCCGCCTCGTGCCTAGAAATCGTGCTGTGTGGGATACAACTGGTGAACGCAACCATTGGTGTCTTCTGTGGCGATTGCAGGAGAAAGGAGGTAGGATGGCGTGGGGCGGAGTTGTAGAAGGAACCTGCTTGCTCCTGGCTGTGTCCTCACTTTCTCTCTTCCACAGGGTGCCCCTCACTGAGACTCCACTGACCATCCGATTACACCTGCTGGTTTGTTTGTGGACACCCGCCTGGCACCCCCATGTCCTGATTCACTTGAATAAACTTCTCTGAGCTCTCTTTCATGCCTCAGATTGTTCCCTATGCAAGGAGGAGTCTGCAAGGGCTTCCAGATACACCTAGGCGTGGGGCTCTCAGGTTTGGGATCCCTATACCTGCTTATTATTATCTTAACAAATAGATACTGAGCTATTAGGGGTTGCACTGGAAATACAGTGGTAAACAAGATAGATGAGTTCTGGGCTCTCAAAGAATTTAACATTCCAGGGTGAAAGATGGGCAATTTATTAAAGAGGCAAAAGATTATTTCAATTGGTAATAATAAGCACTTTTTAAAAACTCATTGGTAGGCTGGATAAGGTGGCTCAGCCTGTAATTCCATCACTTGGGAGGCTGAGGTGGGAGGATCACTTAAGACCAGGAGTTCAAGCCCAGCCTGGTCAATGTAGCCAGATGCCCTCTCAATTTTAAAAACATTAACCAGGAGTGGTGGCGTGTAGCTGTAGTCCCATCTACTTGGGAGGCTGAGGCAGTAGGATTGCTTGAGCCCAAGAGTTTGACGCTGCAGTGAGCTATGATTGAGCCACTGCACTCCAAACTGGGCAACAGAGTGAGGCTCTGTCTCTTTTTTTTTTTTTTTTTTTTTTTTGCTAGGATTACAGGCATGAGCCAGCACTCCTGGCTGAGGGCCTGTCTCTTAAAAAAAACAAACAAGGGAGGCCTGTGATAGCTCACAGCCTGTAATTCTAGCACTTCACAGGAGCCTTGAAGTTTGAGGCTGTAAATGGGCTCTGATCATTCCCCTGCACTCTAACCCAGGCAACAGAACAGACCCCGTCTCAAACACACAAAAAAAGAAACACCCAAACCACACACAAAACAAAATTCTTTTAAAAAGTTGGTAATTGGGCCAGACGCGGTGGCTCAGGCCTGTAATCCTAGCACTCTGGGAGGCCGAGGCAGGCGGATTGCTCAAGGTCAGGAGTTCGAAACCAGCCTGAGCAAGAGCGAGTCCCTATCTCTACTAAAAACACAAAGAAATTAATTGGTCAACTAAAAATATAATAGAAAAAAATTGCCGGGCGATGGTGGCAACATGCCTGTAGTTCCCAGCTACTTGGGAGGCTGGGAGGATCGCTTGAGCCCAGGAGGATCGCTTGAGCCCAGGAGTTTGAGATTGCTGTGAGCTATGCTGACACCATGGCACTCACTCTAGCCTGGGCAACAAAGTGAGACTCTGTCTCAAAAAAAAAAAAAACAAAGTTGGTAATGA